GGAAGCTTGAGTACAGATTGTGGAACAACCATCAGCTTTACCGTTGGCACGAAGCTGATGGTGTACAAATCCATGGTTACTGTCCGTTCTTCTATACGGCAGTGAAACGGGGACGATGTACCGTCGGGATGTGCGATATCTTGAGCGGTTCCATCAGCAGTGTCTGCAACGAATTTTGCGCATCGGTTGGGACGCCAAAGTTGCAGACACGGAAGTGTTGCGCCGAAGTGGGATGTATGCAGTGGAGTGCATACTTTTACTGAGACACCTGAGATGGCTCGGTCATGTGTGGCGTATGGATTCGACTCAGATACCGAAACAACTCTTACACGGTCAGTGGTGCATTGGGAAGCGGCACGTGGGGAAACCAAAGTTACGTTACCAGGACATGATCAAAGTGAGCCTCACACGTTCTAATCTTGATTGCATATCATGGGAATCGAAAGCGGTTGATCGGCGCGTATGGCGCGATCTCATCATGAAGGCAGTTGCTGAAGTGCGGGAGAAAGACCTCATGCATGCAGAGAAGAAGCGGTAAGTGTGGAAGCGGCAAGCACCGATGGATTGTACTCCATCGACATCAGTCGCAATTTGCTGTAGCACATGCGGTAGCGAGTGCCTGAGTCAGGCAGGCCTAGTGAACCATGAGCGAGGCCAGCCGGGACCACCACCGAAGCGCCGACGGGTTCTGCAGAGAACGTGGGCAGAACCGGCTCAGCGTTAGTAGGTACGCTGCATTCGATTTACTAACCGCGTGCTTGCATGCTAAGTCTATTTATTTCAGGTGGTGGGTTTTCAATTTTGCCCTAATGCTTTTCTTTCCCATATAAATGCCTAGTTATACTCTCTTCTATTCACTTGCACACGTCGCTTAAGCCACTTGTAGTTATTTCGATAACATTTTCGTGTTTGTAGCATTTCCGTAAAATAAACCTCCTGACCTCGTGAACTTACCTCGTATTCTTTTGTAAACATTTGTGTTACCGTTTGCTTGCGTGCTAAGTCTGTTTATTTCAGGTGGTGGGTTTTCAATTTTGCCTAAATGCTTTTCTTTCTCATATAAATGTCTACCTGTACTCTATTCCATTAACTTGCACACCTCGCTTAAACCAATTGTATTCGATTTCCATAACATTTTTGTGTTCGTGGCATTCCGTAAAGTATACCTTCTGACCTCGTGAACTTATCTAGGATTCGTTTGTAAACAACTTATTTCATATGCTCATTAACTTAAGGTTGATGTCACCGTTTTCCTATGCAATAATCGAGTTATTTTCTTTCTCGCTCTCTCTCTCTCTCTCTCTCAAGTGATTGGCTGTTGTTTGACATCCCCGAGGTGACTGCGCTTGATGTGCATGTTGACAAGGTGTCTACCTGTCTAGTACCCGCTACCTCGTCCATACTAGCTCCAGGAGACAGTTGGTCGTTGCTGGAGGGGACGGGGTGCACGGTCCTTGTGGCCGTGGTTCCATGTGCTCAGTGTGGAGCGGACTACGGTCCAGCCACCGCCTTGTGTGCGCTTGATTCCCAAATACAGTGTGCTTCTGTTTGCCTGTGAAGGAGTGTGTGCCGGCTCCGTTGATGAAACGTGGCTCCCATCCACATGCCTCCCGGTCTTATTCCTTCGGGTTTACACTGGATATGGGGTATGTGGATGGAGCTGTGGGTGGTGCAGCGCAAGCCATCCATGGTCCCTCTGTAGGCGCAGGCGTCCTGTGGCTGGGCACAGTGACAGGCAAATCCGAAACCGGATGCCGCCAACCATATATATACATGTATATATGTGGTTTGCAGCATCTGGTTTCGGATTTGCCTGGCGCTGTGGCAAGAAGCAGGACGCGTGTTTCTACAGAGGGACCCCAGATGGCTTGCGCTGCACTGCCCACAGCTCCAATCACACGCCCCATTTCTAGTGTAAAACCGAAGGAATAAGACCTGGGTGGCATGTGGATGGAAGCCACGTTGCATCAACGGAGCCGGCCCACACTCCTTCACAGGCAAAGAGAAGCCCGCTGTATTTGGGGAATCAAGCGCACACAAGGCGGTAATTGGAGCTTGGACCGCTCCACACTGAGTACATGGAACCACTCTTTGAGATTAGCACTGTCACGAAAACGGTGCACCCCGTCCCTTCCAGCAATGACCAATTGCCTCCTGGAGCCAGATGGACGAGGTAGCTGGTATTAGACAGGTAGGCACCTTGCAACTTGCACATCAAGCGTAGCCACAGCGGGGATATCAAGCAACAGACAATCATTTGAAACGAGCGGATGAAATAAAATAAATCGAATACTGCATACAGATACCGTGGCATAAATCTTTGCTAAATTAGGACATAAGGTAAGACGGTTAGCAACGAACCCGCGATAAGTAAAAAATGTCCACAAGTTAATTAAAAATGCTACACAAGCAAGGAAGTTACGGAAGATAAGCGCAATTAGCGTAAGCAGCGCGGCCAGTTCATTGTTCGTTCATTGGTAGAGAGCAGAAGGTAGGTCCCGTGTCAGCTCCTTCGATATTGTTGCAGAAGCGTCCCTTTCGGAAGCCATGCTGAGCAGATGAAATAAACTTCATATCTTTATAGTGTCGTTGGATGGCACATTTAATATGCTTTTCCATGATCTTGCAGGCGACCGACGTCAAGCAAATTGGCCATAGTTCGCATGGTCCTGGCGGTTTCCACCCTTGTTAATAGAAGATTGCTCAGGTAGGCAGAACAAACTACAAAAATTGGAAGAAAATTTACCCAGCTTAAAAGGGCCTAGTTTAAGTGTTGGTTGGTTTAGCTTAACTGCGGTGAAGAAGCATCATGAATGCAACATCAGCCTCTGCATGGGGGAGTGGCTAATTTTTATAAGGAAAAATTTGCCTGCAGAGGCTTTGTATTCCGGTACGCCTGCCTAAAATGGTATGCTTTCATAACTGGAATTGAGTTCACTGACTTCATTGAGGGGTAAAGAGCAGAAGGGAGGTCCGGTGTCAGCTCCTTTGATTCTCTATCTTCTAAGGATTGCAGGCGTAGTAGCTGTGGCATAGCTCATGATGTAGTATCAGTCTTGCAGAATCCTGGATACTCAGTAGGAGGATGTCTAGCAAACGTTTGAAACTCGCTTCTGACTGCGCATTCATAGTCGCGTCCGGCAGTCGGTTCCAGTCATTAATTACTCCAGTAGAGAGAGCAATTAGCTGGGCGGACTTTGAACCTCCTCAGTTTAAACAGCCTCCAGCTGTGACCTCAAGTCGAACTGCCACGTCTTAGCTAAATAAACTACCTCCGTTCGTTTCCCAGTTCTCCTCGTAGGATACGCCTAGTATAAAAGCGATCTCCGCGACGTCGGCCGTAGTCTAAGGGAAAAAGGTCATCCTCTGTAGTCGGGCTGGGTACGGGAGTTCCCGTAGCCCAAGGACAACTTTTGAGGTTCGTCGCTGAATTTTTCTATCTTGTTACTTTCATGCTTTGATAGAGGGGCTATGGCCGGAAGTCCGAATTCAAGGATGTGACGGATGTGGGAGGTAAAGAGAAGTCTAAATATCTGGAGCGTTATTCTAGAGAATGCTCTCCTTATGACGCCTCACATCCTGTTCACCGCAGTAGTTTCCTTTAATGTGTCAAGGGTAGTTTTGAGATCAGTGGATTCTATTGTCAATCTTGAGTAGGTGCCCGCCAATGTGATAGATGCCCAGTGATTCAGCAGCACCTTTGGAAAGGACAGAATACTTAGCTTTGTTGACCGGCAAACCCCACTTGATAGACAAAGGGTGCAGTAGATCAAACGTTTCCTGTAATCAGTCGGCGTCTTCGAGGTTGGACACTTCCGACCATAGCTTCAAGTCGTCTGCATAGATCAGACAGTCCGTTTGTAGCATACTTGGTAGGTCATTGATATATACCTTGAACAATTTTGGTCCGAGAACGGAGCCTTGTGGTACGCCACTGGACATAGGCACTTTGACTTGCATGTTCCGGCTTTGCAAGAAGTCACTGATCCATAGTGGGAGGTTCCCTGTTATGCCAATTCCGCGGAGCTTAGAGAGTAGTTCCTGATGTGGGGCTCTGTCAAAAGCATTGCTGAAGTCGATGGAAACCGAGTAGTCAGTTAAGTGAAGGAGCAATTATTTACAGCAGCGAAGATTGTAGCTGAAGGGAAGATTGGTTAGGAGAGCTACCTATGCTCTAAAGCTGAAGAGACGGCGTAAAATGGCGCAAGGGTGCCAAAATGGAAACTGAACTACGCGATGGTGGTACAATTTGCTGTCACTAGTGTCAAAAGTACATAGAGAACAGAGAGAGGAGGAAGAGTAATATGTAGAAGAATCCGCTTGTAACTGTGCGGTCATGTGGAATGGACTACCGAGTATTTAGTGAAGGGGAAGTGCGGCGATTTATAGGGACAATTGGTGTAGCTGAAGGAAAGATAGCCAAGTAAAGCCAGCGAAGCTATGAGCTTACATTTCCGTAATAATATGGCGAAGCGTCGCCACAATAGACTAAACGGACCACACGTGCGTCAAGCTCTATCATGTTACAAGTACCACAAATGGACCGAGAGCACAAGGAGATAAGTCCCTGCTTTACAACATACGCAACCCGCACTTGGTCGAAAGTATAAGGCATATGGAACTTGCGCAATCGGCTAAGAGTAGGAGCAGTGATTAATAAAAACCAATGCTGTAGGGAAATGACCGATAGGGTAGTAGAGCCAGCGATGCCATGAATCTGCAGTTCTGAAGTTATATAGGGCTGCAATGCCATGAGGATTGTAAACTACTGAAAGGTACAGCGCTATAGTGTCACAGGTAAGTCAGGTGGACAAAAATAACACAGAGGAAAGTTTTGGGAGTTAGTGGGTCAAGGAAGATTTTATTCTCGAATCCACATGTAGCACTAGTTAATACTAGTCCGAGACGATGCGCGGAATTAAGCGCGGATATCAGAAGGCAATTGGAGTCGGACACAGCGGACTGTATTCGATGGGCTACAACAACAAGCGGACGGATGAAGCGAGGCAAGAGCGTACACGTGAGCGCGGGGACTTACAAGGCAGTTGTGTGTCGAGCCGGTTGTAAGATTAAAACAAGAAGGAGTAATGTACAATCGGTCAACAAGTAAATTGTACACGAAAGATAAGAGTTATCTTTTTGGGCGCTACAGAGCTACAGGGCTGAACATAGAAAGCCTTCGAAATCGAAAAGGAATGTTAAAACGAGGTTCGTAAGGCGAAATCGTGCCGAGTAAAAATGGGCGTGCGTTCGTGTAAATGGGGGTTCATCATAAGTCGAAGTCCGCTGTGCCGTTTATGATTCGCTATTTATTGAATGCAGGGCAGGGTGCATTTCGGCGAGCCGTTGGAGCGGGCTTGTCGGACTACAAAAAACTGGCTAGTCCAGAAAAAGGCCGACAGGACCTCAACCTCCGCTGCTGCCAAACGGTGCGCTTGGGAGTGGTCTCTCCCCCCGCCGCACACCGCCCCGCGCCAAAGCGACCCTCGTCCCACGAAGAAAACGACCACGGTCCCACGGAGAAGCGACCCTGGTCTCCCGGAGAAGCGATCCTCGTCCCGCGGAGAAGCGACCCTCGTCTCGCGGAGAAGCGATCCTCGTCCCGCAGAGAAGCGACCAGTGTTCGCGTCAGGGTCCTCGGAAAGATTCTTCCTGTGAGCCAGTCGATCGAAGGGGAGGGTTGGGGCATGTAAAGACGAGAAAATAGAAAAACACGCGCAGAAAACGCCAAAAAGAACAAACGAATGATCTGCGTGTTTAAATATTTTTTGGTTTTTGAATAACTTTTTTCGAAAAAGGTTTTTCGGAGGTTTTTTGATATTTTTGTTTATTTTCAAAACGTTGATCGACCAAAAAGGGGACAAATATATACAATATCTACAAAGCTAAAAGTATTTACACTGTACATAGTCGGAGAAACGGACGGGCTTACGTACCTCCCGACCACAGCGATTGGTCGTGGGAGGCGGCGGACTAGATTCGGGAGATGTTGGAACGGCTTGTAGACCGAGATCGTGGTCTGGATGAACTGGACCAGGATGCTGTAAGCTGGTGCGATGAGTTGTGACGTCGCACGAATCACTACTAGACGAAGTAGGCGAGGTAGTTACTTCCATAAAGGCGGGTTTCAGACGGTCGATGGTGACGACTTCGTGTCGACCATTGCGGTCAATAGTGTACGCCTTACTCGCACGATGCAGCACCTTGAAGGGTCCTATGTACGGCGACTGAAGAGGCTGTCGAACACCGTCTGCGCGAAGAAGGACGTGTGAACAAGTAGACAGCTTCTCGGGCACGTACACTGGTGTCTTCTGCGATCGAGGAGCGGGTGGACGTAACTCACGCATCTGGTGAGCCAATCGATCAGTGTAACTTCCGTAGTCAAAAGTGGAAGTACATGGGGCTGGTGCTACCAGCTGTCCGGGCAACCGCAGCGTGCAACCGTAGACTAGCTGCGCTGGTGTGGCGTCGAAGTCAGTCTTAACCGTGTTTCTTAAGCCTAGGAGAACGAGGGGAAGCGTTTCAGACCATGAAGGATCTGCGTGCGCACGTAGCGCTGCCTTCAACTGGCGGTGAAAACGCTCCACCATGCCGTTAGCGGCCGGATGATACGCTGTCGTCTGAACGTGGCGACAGCCTAAATCCTTAAGCAACGTGGCAAAGGTCGACGAGAAATGTGACCCTCGATCGGTGGTCACGATGGCGGGACAGCCGTATTGAGCTACCCAGCGCTCCATAAAAGCTTTCGCTACCGTTTCCGAGGAGCAATTTGGGATAGGGACGGCCTCAGGCCATCTAGTAAATCGATCGATGCAGGTCAGTAGATATACAGAGCCTTTGGAAGGCGGCAGAGGACCAACGAGGTCGACGTGCACGTGATGAAAGCGTGCGTCTGGCGTCGGAAAAGTGCCTAATGGGCTTCTCGTGTGCTTGTGCACCTTCGCGCGTTGACACGGAAGGCAAGCAGCTGCCCAGGTACGGACGTCCCGATTAACATTGCGCCAAACGAATCGTGCGGTTACGAGTTTAACCGATGCACGAACGCCTGGATGAGACAAGCCGTGCAACGCGTCGAACACGGTCTGCCGAAACTCACGTGGGACGACTGGGCGCGGCGTGCCCAGAGATAGATCGCAGAGTATAGTGCCGTCTGATGATGTCAGCGGAACGGGTCGTATGTCCAATGAGGGAGACCTGCGTAGTAGATCAACCTCAGGATCGTTAAGTTGCGCTGTGGCCATGGCTGCCAAGTCGATAGCAGTGCCGGCGTCAGCGGAGATAGCCTGGATACGAGAAAGTGCATCGGCGACGGCGTTGTGCACACCTGAGACATGCCGTATATCGGTCGTAAACTGAGCGATATAGTCAAGGTGGCGCGACTCTCTAGGAGAGTATCGGTCGGTAGTCGAGCCGAGCACGTAAGTCAGGGGTTTGTGGTCGGTGAAGACGACAAAGGAGCGGCCTTCTAGGATGTGTCGAAAGTGACGTATCGCTAGATATACGGCTAGTAGTTCCCTACCGAACGTGCTGTAGCGAGATTCGGTAGGTTGAAGACGTTTCGAGAAAAAGGTTAAGGGTTGCCACGTGTCGGCTACGCGTTGCTGCAAAACAGCGCCGACTGCCACGTCCGAGCGTCAGTACTGAGGGACAGTGGGGCGGCCGGATCGTGGTGCGCTATAGAAGCTATGTTGGCGATAGCCTCTTTCAGCGACTTAAAAGCAGCGCGTGCTGCGGCAGAAAATTCGAATTTCTTGAGTTTCCCTCGGAGAAGGTCCGTGAGGGGTTGCATCAGCGAGGCGCAGTTGGGTATAAATCGACGGTAAAAGTTGACCAGGCCATCAAAACGCCTGAGCTGTTTGAAAGAATGAGGCTCGGGGTAGTCGATAATGGCTTGAATTTTATCCTGCAGTGGCACGACGCCTGCAGAAGAGATACGATGTCCCAGGAAATTGACTGCATCGACACCAAACGAACACTTTTCTGCGTTGATCGTCACCCCGTGTTGAGATAAACGATCAAAAAGTGTTCGTACGTGGCGTATGTGCTCTTCTCGTGAAGAGCTTGCGATTAAAATGTCATCCAGATACGCGTAAGCGAAGTCTAAACCGCGACAAAAAAAAAAAAAAAAAAAAAAAAAAAAAAAAAAAAAAAAAAAGAAAAAAAAAAAAAAAAAAAAAAAAAAAAAAAAGAAAAAAAAAAAAAAAAAAAAAAAAAAAAAAAAAAAAAAAAAAAAAAAAAAAAAAAAAAAAAAAAAAAAAAAGAAACAAACTTGATCGATGAAACGCTGAAAAGTTTGCGCGGCGTTCTTTAGGTCAAAAAGCATGCGCAGAAACTCGAACAAACCAAATGGAGTCGTCACGGCAGTTTTAGCGACGTCCGCCTCGGCTACCGGAATTTGGTTGTATGCGCGTACCAAGTCGATTTTGCTGAAGATACTTTTACCCGCCAGACTGGCGGTGAGATTCACTATGAGTAGTATCGGATGGCGATCAGGCGTGGTCACCGTATTCAAGGATCGATAGTCGCCGCAAGGACGCCAGTCCCCCACAACCTTCTTCGGGACCATGTGCAGAGGCGACGCCCATGGGCTGTTGGACGGTCTGACGATACCAAGTTGAAGCATGTGGTCAAATTCGGCTCGTGCTTCCCGTAGTTTGTCAGGAGCAAGCCGTCTTGGTCGTGCGCTAACTGGTTGACCGCGCGTAACTATGTGGTGAGCGACCTCTGTCGTGACTGGTGGAAGCTCTGCAGCCGGTCAAACCAGTCGCGGGTATTCGGAGAGGAGGCTCAAGTAGTCGGACGGTGCGTCTGCGATCCGAAATACAGGGCTGATTATCGGGGCATCTGAAAGAACACCCATCAACTCCTTAGTTTCGTACGGTCGTCTAAAAGTCTGTGGCGACCAGCATCAACAAGCAACCCAAAATGTCGGAGGAAGTCGATACCGATAATTGCGAAGGGTACAGACGCAACCATGAAGACCCACTGAAAATCTCGGCGAAGATTGAGGTCTAGGTTCATCATGCGCTGACCGAATGAAGCTATCGGAGAACCGTTGGCCGCACGCAAATTGTACGTAGGCTTCGAGTGCTTGTCGCTAGCGGTCGCTGGGATGACGCTGACTTCCGCTCCCGTGTCGATGAGGAAGGTGATGGAAGAACGTCGATCCTTAACGTAAAACAGTCGGTTTGCTTGGTTATTGAATGATACGTTTGTAGTGCTAGTATGCGGGCTATTCGTTTTCCCTGGGTCGTGCCTAATGCAGGGAGCCCGACAACGTCTAGCTCTTCCACCGTATTGGCGGTGATACCAACATACTTCTTCGACGGGTTTGACATTATCTGACTGAGAACTTGTAAGGAAAATGTTGCGCTTTCGTGCCGAACGTGACGTACTCGGTGCAGGCACAGACGAGCCGCAATGAACGGTAGCCAAAACGTGGTCAGCATTTGACCGTGGCACACGCTGCTTCGAAGCCTTCATTGCTGCTATCCTGCTGCGAAGTAGCGCAATTTCCTCGTCTTTAGAGTCAGATCGGTCTAGCGACTGGGAACAAACATGGGATTCGGTTTTCATCGGTGAGAATACGTCACCGGAGTTACTGGTCGTCTGCTGCGGAAAACGTTCGAACGCAGCGTCTGCCTTGGTAGCTAAGTCTTTCAAGGGTGCATCTATAAACATGGACAGCATTACCGGCAATGGCTCTGGGAGACGTGCAAACCACAGCTCCTTTATCCCTTCTTCGCTCAAGAATAAGGGACCAGCGATGCGCTGAAGTTCGCGGAGCAATGCCGACGGCTTGCGATCTCCAAGCTTGAGACCATTGAGCTGCTCAAATCGTGTTCGTGCGCTGGGTCGTACTCTTCATCGATCACTATGTATAGATCTTCTCTTCGACCGGAGTACAATCCTTGGGTTCATTTATCTAGAGGTAATGGAAAAGAGAGAGATGTATATCATGTTGGTGATGTTGGAGAAGAGTTACGAGTCCGCAGCGCACGATGCCACGATTGAGCGA